CCAGACACTGCCCCGAAGGACCCTTTATTCGGATTCTTGTGGGGATACGACTGTCAGCCCAAGACAAGAGAAGAGAAGCTCTGGGCCACCAGAAACTGGGGCGATCCTCTAATGCACCTAGAAAAAAACTTCACCTCTAGGCTAGCCCTTAATCCCTAACCCTAAACCCTAAACTCTAAACCCCTAAACCCTAAACTTTCCCTAAACCCCTAAAAACTAAAGCCTAAGGCCTGAGCTCTCAGTTTTGAACCTCCGGCTGTGAGATCTTAGGCGTTTGGTTTAAGGCGTCTACCACAAAAAACGGGGGCCATTCTTTGGAAGGGGCTAGAGTTTTCGCACATGCCGCTGATGGAGAAAATCCTACATGTTTCCATACGGGCAATACACTAAGTGGAAATTCCAGGCACTGCCCATCAGTCGTATATAAACACAAGTGCAGACACAAAGGCGTCCTAACCACAGTCAGGTTCAGGCAGCATATCTCCAGGCCTATGCCTGTTGTGTACTCTAGGCTGACCCGAGGTTTGGGGTTGAAGGCTCCGGGGAACACAACAAAAAAACCCAAACCCAAAACCCTAAACACCCCTAAATCCCTAAACCCCTAAACCCCTAAACCCCTACACCCTAAACCCCTAAAGCCAAAACCCCTAAACCCTAAACCCGAAACCCTAAAACCCGGAAGCCTCCACTCCCACGGTGTAGGCATGTGTCGTTGAAGAGTGCGAGTGCGACTTGCCACTGCTGCCCCTTGGCAGATCGACTCACCTTCGAGGGCAGGAGCTCCAGGGTTAAATGCAGCTCCTTTGTACTATGAGGGTTTAGGGTTTAGGGTTTGGGGTTTAGGGTTTAGGGTTTAGGGTTTAGGGTTTAGGGCTTTAGGGTTTTAGGGTTTAGGGGTTTAGGGCTTTAGGCTTTAGGGGTTTAGGGCTTAGGGTTTAGAGTTTAGGGCGTAGGGTTTAGGGTTTAGGGTCTTAGTAGCTGAGTAGGTAACCTTTAACCTTTTTGCGGCCGTATATACTCAACTTG